ATATCTAAAATGCTACTTTATATTTATATTTTTTTAGCATCTGTAAACTAATTTAATGCCTTTTATATATAAAATATTAAATTTAATATAATATTAAATTTTTTAGTTATTTACAATGTATAATAATCTATATAAATATGATTTTTATCATGTAGAAAATTAAATTTATTCGCTTAATAATGAAATACAGTATTCAAATATAATGTTATATATGGAATTATATAGACATTTTTTATTTACTGATAGGTCAATAAAAAAATAAATTTTATTCTATAAAATTCCAAAATTTTTTTAACATTGATTGAGGAATAAATAATATTTTTCTACCTTAAATCAATTTATAAATTTCTTTTTTTGTAACTTATCATATTTATTTGCACGAATTACTGAATATATTAAAATTAAAAAATTGATTTAATATTATTTTAATATATATTTTTCAATAAATTTCTTTATAAATTAATTTACTATTAATAAAATATTATATAAACATTAAGCTACACAAAATTAAAATTTTATTTATAATATTAAAATCTAAGAAAATTTAACATTATATAAATTATACTGTATTACATAAATTGTATTTTCATAAAATTTATCCAATAAATCAATTTTAAATTTTTTAAAAACTGCTTTAAGTAATTAAAAATTTTAATATTCGTAACATTTAACTGCATTAATTATACTTTAAAAAATCAATAACATATCTTAATTTAAAATGAAAAATGTATTTATAATTCAATAAATATAACATAATAAATTAACTTATATAATTATATAATTAGCAATCTGTTGAATTATTAAATTAAAACGAAGTTTTTCCTAAGGCAAAAAAGTTTCTAGAAGAGAAAAAATACTACAGAAATACTATATATTTGCTTTTACCTTTTATAAAATTTAAATTATGTGCAACAAAATCAATATTACGTATATACAGGGTGTAGACACAAACATGTCACTAGGCTATATCTATCTTCTGTTACATAATAACTAAATGCAATTGCACTGGTGTGTAGGTAATCGGTAACGGACTATTCGTTGGTTTGAAAGCTATGACCACCAACATCCTCTTCGCATGGTGGAAACCTCACTTGAGTACTACGAAAAATGACATAATTTAAGTCGTAGAGAGTGTCAAGATCACTACAAAATGTTTTTTGTCCGCTTGAAATAGGGGAAGATGGAGCAAGTTGAAAAGCTACGTTTTTAAGCTAATCTATAGATAAGTGGAAGCAGTTGTTTAGTGTAAACACGAAGTTGCATCAACAGGATTCATTCAACAACGAATTGCTGGTTTCTTATACGTACTGTACTTTAGTTGTTACCAATAAAAGTTTGATTTCAAATCAGTAAAATCTTTTTGTACGTCTGGAAAGTTTTCCAAAAGTATGCTAATTTCTATACAAGCGAAATAATTTTTACGACGTTACACCAGGTATTGTTTAGGTAATTTGTTATTTTGATGAGAAATTCGTCCACGTGCTACTTATGATTAATTAACTCTTCATAAACGAAAGTATTTTATTGTTGAACACGGGGCATTACGACTAGGACATGTTACCATTCGTCAACATGCCTTAGCAGGAATTTACTATGATAGCTAATCAAGACAGACATCTTTCAAAATCTAATATTATTGATATACTAGAGGACGAGTGGATTCAGTTTTATAAATACAAAAGTTAATGTTATGAGCTAAGAAGATACAGGAAAATTCACCTGCGATTTACTCCAGTAGGCAAAATGTCCTGCTTGTCTTTATTTCGCTTCCTTTCCTTTAATTTTTTTCATTTAAAATAAAAGTAGAGACGATACCTGACGGCATTGTTCCAAATATAAAAATAATTTACATTTGTCTATATTTTTAAAACACATGTTAACTTGCCCCAATAGGGGAAGATGACGAACAAGTAGTATTTTAAAAAAATTATACATTCTTATTCTAGTTTTTTTTAATGAAAATTAACGTTTGTCAGATCCATCATTTAAGAAAACAGGTATTTATATATCAAAGTACATATAAGTGCTTCTATTATTACACATCAAATATAGTAACTTATGAATCAATCGTCAACTTGCCACACTTTCCCCTATTCAAATGGGAAGCAGTTTGACATTGTCAAAAAATGATGGTAAAACCGTGTAAGGCTTCTCTGCATGGCCTTGGGCGCTCAAGGCCATACTGCTTTCCCTTTGAGAATTTTAACCGGAATAATAACGATTTTTACTGATTTTGAGACACTCTACGCATTTGTACTTTAAACTATGTCGTTATCTTTCATAGGACTCGAGATAAGATTTCCCTTGTGCAAAGGGGAGTTCGAAGTGAATGGAGTCCAAATCAAGAACAGCCCACTACTAAATTACCTATACTCTAGTGTAATTGCATTTAGTTATTACATAGCAGAAGTGAGATAAGTTGATGCAATGTTTTTGTCTACAAAATGTGTATATGTATGTACTTAATATTGATTTTCTTTTGCATTTTAAATATCAATTTTGATTTGTTGACATTTGAATGTTTTGTATTTGCAAATTTATCAGAAAGAAAATATTTTAAATTCATACAAATTTTTCATCTCATTTGAAAATCAAAAAAGAGAAAATTGTATAAGATATTAAAAGAAAACAAGCAATATAACCCATATACTTTTATTATTTTCTCTATACTTGTATATTAATTTACTTATTTATTTTTGTTGTATTGTAGTTTAAAATAACATTGGAAAAAATATTCTTAATTTGAAATCTGAATATTTTCCTATTTTTACTCAAAGAAAAAGAATAAATTCTGAAAATACATTAATGCTTCATATCAGGATATTACTGAAGCTGTAGATGGATAGCTTGTGGCAATTATATGTAGGTTTCATAGTCTGATGCGATAACGTCAGACCACAGAAATGTCTCTACTAAACACATTCATTTGATTTGGAATCGAAGTTAAAATATATATTATAACATTTATAAATAATATTCATATAAAAAAAATACTGCATATATCTAAAATGCTACTTATAATTCATTTTAAATTTTAATTAAACTATAGAATACAAGTTTTAATTCATTATTTTATTCTTAAGACTTAATAACTTGTAAGATTTACTTTATATGAGTT